AGTGATGTCGCTACTTTGGTTTTGCTAATTTTGACAATATTCAAAAACGACGGTTATCGACATCATCGCTTGAGCTAATTTGCTCTTTTGCCAGAATGTCTACTTATAATTCCAACAAGTAATTATTGGATTTAAACACACTAAGTATTTTCATTATTTATCGAAGTATTGATTTTTATAGAAAAAGCGCCGCAGGCGAAAGTTTGTAATAAAAAATCGCGCGAGTTTTTATTAAAAATTTTCATTATTTATCAAAGTATTGATTTTTATGGAAAAAGCGCCGAAGGTGAAAATTTTTAATAAATAATCGCGCGATTTTTTATTAAAAATTTTCATTATTTATGGAAGTATTGATTTTTATGGAAAAAGCGCCGCAGGCGAAAATTTATAATAAAAAATCGCGCGATTTTTTATTAAAAATTTTTATTATTTATCAAATTATGGATGTACGTTTTCTACATTTGTGTACTTTGAACTACAATAACACCAGTAAATATTATTTCCCCCCGAAAAACATTATACCGTTATGATCAGGAGTAAGACCCCTATCGATCCTAATATTATTATTTTTAATAAGAGCAATGTATGTACGTATTGTACACTTATACTCCCTAATTATACGCACTTATTTGTGTATTTTTTTAACGTATGGTAGCAACATTTTGTGCCATTGTTATTTCTGCTTGTTTGTGAAATGTGCAAACGTTTGTGAAGACATTTATAAACGCGTTTTACTTAATTAATTAATTAAGAATTGTATATTAAAGTGGAAATCTCACGCCGGGGTTTTAATGCAACTATTTTGCCGAAGTGTGTACATAAATAAAGTGTTTATTGTGTGAAATAGCGCCGAGAGGTTAGTTCAATTTACAAACTTTAACAACAAATAACTTAAAAACTATAAGCCTGCTGCGGCTAAAAGTATATATATTTGCAATCAGGAGAACTCCCTCTACTGTTCCATAGCTACCTTGACGCGAAACTCCGGGGATGCCAAACTAAATTGCAGCCACAAATGTTCCAAATTAGTCTCTCGCCGCCAAAAAGTAAGAAAACAAATGCAAAATCATAAATTTTTCACAATTTTCTAACATTTCGCTACACCAACGAAAGCAATATTCTGTTCGACAGAAAATTCGATTCTCAATGAAAATTACGACACGCTTGCATAGCTCATAATGCAAATTTCACTTTCGATCTTCGATAGCCAGCGCAGATCGAAAATCGAATGCAACTCATAATAAGGGCCTAGTTCTCACGACCTTAGACCTGCATCAAGTTATTAAAAAAAAACTTTTAAATTGCCGTCTAGACGCTAACAAATAAAACAAGTAAGAAAGTCTAAGTTCGGGCGGAGCCGAACATTAAATACCCGGCGCAAGTATTAAATATATGTTGTTCACCCTTCCGAAAGCTACCGCTAGATGGTAAGCCGGGGTGTATCAATTTTGAGTAAATTAGCGTCCTTAAATTTCGAAATATTGAAGTTTCAAGCATATCTGAAATTTACCGTTATATGAAAAGCGGCCGTAATTTTAGTCCGATTTCAACAATTTTCAGCGTTTTGCTTCAGTGTGGCAAGTACAATAACGACACCGAGTTTGGTAGAAATTGGTAGAACGGTTACCGAGATATATATATATGATCATAAGTGGGCGGTGCCACGCCCATTTTCCAAAATTGTATCATAAACGTATTTCTTGGTAAAGAATTGTTACAAGCGTAAATTTTGAATAAATTAGCTTCAATATTTACCGATTTATCGAAGACTTCGTATTTCTCTAAATTACCGTTATATGTGATGTGGGCGTGATTATTGTCCGATTTCAAAAATTTTCGGCCATTTCGTAGGTTATGTCAAGGCCACCAATTGGAAGAAATTGGTGCAGCGGTTACCAAGATATACACATGTAACTATAAGTGGGCGTGGTTACGCCCATTTTCCAAAAATTTATAATATTCTTATTTCTCGTCTAAAACTTATTGTAAGTATCAATTTTGAGTGAATATTCTTCAGTAGTTACTAAAATATCGCAGTTTTCGTATTTCTGAAAATTACCGTTATATGGGAGGTAGGCGTGGTTATTGTCCGATTTTGCCCATTTTCAATACCATCCGTCCTACGGCAGAAAGAAGTGCACGTACCAAGTTTCGTTGAGATAACTCAATTTTTACTCGAGTTATCGTGTGCACAGATGGACGGACGGACAGACAGTCACCGCTTAATCGATTTCTCTTTTCATTCTAATCATTTATGTATACATTTGTCTATATCTATCTCGATTCGTTTTGCCTGTTACAAACAACCGTTATGTGAACAAAGTTATAATACCCTTGTGCACAAGTGCGCTCGGGTATAAAAACAAACGCAAAATACTTACATTGTCAACAATTTTCTCACACTACTTACGCTACAGCATCGAAAATTTCGACATGCTTGCATAGCTCATAATACGAATTTAATTTTCGATCTTCGATAGCCAGCGAGGATCGAAAATCGAATGCAGCTAATAATAAGCGCCTTAAACAAATTACAAATGAAACCAGAAGGGCATTTGGGCGCAGAGTGTACTGCTCTGCAATTTTTCTCGATGTGACACAAGCATTCGACAAAGTGTGACACGGCGGTCTTATATATAAAATTAAAAAATTGTTTTTTGTATAAGTGTAAGTTGAAAACTCCTGTTCACAACAATACGTTGGGACAAAAGGAAGCAAAGTTAAGATAGCAATTTTAACTATCTCAAGGTATTTCCTCCTAACACTAACCCAAAACGCGTTTACACAGGTAATCCAGAAATTTCATTTCAATCTTCTTAAGGAAGATAATTTGTCTCTCGCCATAAATATGGTTATTGACTTTCCGAGCTAAAATGTAGTAATTTCACTGCTCTTTCTAAAAATGATGGCAAGATAAGCTAATTTAATAAGCCGGATTTTCAAATAATAATAATAACAATTTGGCGCTTACACTTTTGTTCAGTGTTTGGCCGAGCTTGTCCTCCAATGAGTGGTTTGCGCCTTGATATTGTTACACAAATGGAGGGACTCAGTTTTACTCCGCCTCCGAACGGCAAATGGATATTAGGAGAAGCTTTTTCATGTCAGAAATACACTCGGAGGTTTGTCATTGCCGAGGGCAGGCTTGCCAACTTATGCATTCTTGAAACCGTGGCACACAATGTTAGGAATAAGCGCTTAGGCTTTTTAAGCGAAATATTGAAAATTTTTGAAATCGGTCAACATTATTTTCTTCATCTCTAAAAGTGCAACCTTTGCACTTTTGCTTTCCGATCTTGCTGCTTTCTCATAACTTCACCTTTATAAATTTCTAAGTTTTCTTTTGAGCCTTTTTTTAAGTAGTACGTTCTTTTTGCATATTTTTCCGTTTCCCTAGCACTTTTTTAATTTCTTTTATGTTAGAAATTACCTCTTCATAAAAAGCCTTCCGGGCATTTGTCTGTGCTTCCAACTACCCAGTCTCTCCGTTTTGTGGCACCGTTTTTTTTCAGGGGTTTCGTGTTGTATTTTCTCCAACTACATAGTTTCGGTCTTCATTGCTCGTTTCCAAATCGAATGGTGGCTGGTTTTCATCTGCTGGAGCCGGCTCAGGCGAATCTAGGCGCTGATCATCACCACTTATATCTAGGCTGAATTCCGCTCCCGGTGGATTCACACAGGCATCAAGCTCGACTAACCCAATTATGGCCTCCTCAAAATTTGTATACGACTGGAGCCTGTTCGGTCCTCCACCTTTTGCTCGGTATTCAGCCTTATTTTGTGACATTTTCGTTTTGGTCTTCGATTTCATGTGAGCCCACATCTGAAAACACAAAGCTAAAATTTACTTATACAAAAAAAAATTGCTGTAATTCACCTTAATCCACTTTGCTGTCATTCTAATTGGTGGTCCTAAACAATTTAGCTCCAGCGCAATATCTTCCCACTTTTTCCGCCTGAAGCTTTGTACAAATCCCTTTCGCAAGTTGGGGATTTCCTTCCATCAGTGAAACCAGCCTTTCGAGTTGCTGTTTAGGGCCCCTATTATGAGTTACATTCGATATTCGACTGTGGTCGAAAGTGCTGATCGAACGAATTTTCATTTGGTATAATGGCACTCATTCGGTGCCACTATTGTATACAATATTGTAGCACAATAGTATACTTTTCACCGTTGAGAAGATTTGTTTACAAATCGAGCAAACTAAACAGTGTGTTTATACATATTTATGTAAATTTGTGCAAACACAATCGAAATAAAAAAGAAAGCGAGTTTATAAAAACGTGGTAAAAATTAGTACAACGGAGTTCTGGTTGAACGATTCGTCAGAGGATGAGAGCTTAGAAAACTGGCCAGGAGCAGAACACGTTTAAGAGAGTTTAAGTGTAGTCTTTCGAATATATTTTGACATACAACATATTTAAGAAATTTTGTGATCCAAATCTATTTAAAATATATTAAAGCTATAAACAGCTCTATGCTTTTTTTCTCATCGTGCCCACAGAGTATTGAGATTTTCTTTCACAAGTAAAACCAGGGCTCGAATCGTCACATACGATATAGTATTACTCGTCACGTAAAAACATCGTTTTCGGATTATGACATACGTAAACGTACTGTTTATCCCATTCAGCTTATACGACTGACGGTATCACGTAATTTTATTTCATATGGTTTTCGATTCGTGAACGGATGTTACGATTCGAGCCCAGCCTTTCGTGATTGTGTTTAGTATTCACGACGTTAGAACCACATGAAATTAATAAAAAATGTTCCAAATTAGTGTCTAGCCGCCAAAAAGTAAGAAAACAATTGCAAAATGATAAATTTTTCACAATTTTCTAACATTTCGCTACACCAACGAAAGCAATATTCTGTTCGACAGAAAATTGATACTCAATGAAAATTTCGACACGCTTGCATAGCTCATAATACAAATTTCACTTTCGATCTACGATAGCCAGCGCAGATCGAAAATCGAATGCAACTCATAATAAGGGCCTAGTTCTCACGACCTTAGACCTGCATCAAATTATTAAAAAAAACTTTTAAATTACCGTTTAGACGCTAACAAATAAAAAAACAAACTCAAAATACTTACATTGTCAACAATTCTCTCACACTACTTACGCTACAGCATCGAAAGCAAAATTCTGTTCGACAGAAAATTCGATACTCAACGAAAATTTCGACATGCTTGCATAGCTCATAATACGAATTTAATTTTCGATCTTCGATAGCCAGCGAGGATCGAAAATCAAATGCCGCTAATAATAAGGGCCTTCAACAAATTACAAATGAAACCAGTAGTGCGATTCGGTAACTCTTAACGATTCATTTGTTGAGTTGTTAATTAAAGATTTTTGTCGTTGTCAATAACGATTATGCGATTCACTAACTCATTCCTAACGACAGTAAACAGCTGACTTTTTCCATTATTTCAAATTGATAAAAAGTGGCATCTCCGCTGTTCGAAATGTCAAATTTGCGAAAAGCACAAAGCGGAACAGAAAAAAAACAAAGCCATTTCTTCGAGCCGCTAATTTGCGTCCACATATTGCAGAAAAGGGGAGTACATTTTGCTATTTATTTAATTAATATGTATAAGAATTTACTTTGTTCTTATTTATAATTTCAGAATGGCGTCTACCAGTGGAGCAGGAGCTAAAAGGAGTCGGGCATCAGCGGAGCAGCTCAACGTGATGATCGACCTTCTCACGGAGAACGAAGGGCTTGCGTCCGGAAAGTTCCAGCGTCTCCAAGGAAAGCTGGAGTATCAAAAGAAGTGGGCGGAAATGGCACAAAAGCTCAACGCTATAGGAGGAGCTGTAAAGTCAGTGGATCAATGGCATTCGGTAAGTACTTATCTTGTGTTTTAAGTGTGTGTATATAGGAAGCAGTTTTCGAGAGTGCGATAAAAAAACAATTAGTATAATATATATGTACATACATGAAGTACAATTTTTTAATTAAAATGTGCAAATGAAGAATGAGGTTGTTGGTTAATTCGGAGAAGTAATCTTTAGTTTTCAAATTCATTTTTAACATATTGGGTACGGTTGAGTTATTTGTGCAACGACTTTGGGTTGCTGTGCCCAAACGTGTGAGACGAACCAAAAAACGTTTACACACACTTATAGACAAGAGTATACACTTTATTTAAGCAAAAGGTTTACCATAGCTGTGCATTAATTATCTATAATTTAGGTTTGAAATATGGTATTTTTGCAATCAGCTCCCAAGGTGTCTTTTCATAAAGTGCGGTCCATCCTCTTTTTTTTAAGGGAGGTTTGGAGGGCCACGCCAACTCCCCCTCCGCTCTCTACCCCAAACTCGTTGTACAAATAACTTAACATTTCCCCCGGGACTTTTGTTTAATTTTGTTTGAGCTTCCTGTGCACATTAATTTACCTTTTATTTTATTGATCATTCATAAATATGCTGCAATGCTTTATATACTACATATTTGTTAACTATGTATTTCATTACTTTGCAAACAGGTCTGGCGCGACTTAAAAAGCCGTACAAGCGTACGTGTACGTGACCGGAAGAGGCAGCAGGCTCTAACAGGCAACAGGCCCATCGATCAGCCGCCTTTAACGGAGATGGAGAGGCGGGTAATTGATCTAATTGGGATCAACTACATCGAGGGTCACGAAGCGGTTCCTGACAATGTGCCATTGGAAGAGGTGAGCTTATAGTTATACAATTATTTCTATTATTATTTAATACTTTTTTAATTTACTTTTAAACTATTGGGAGCTTCAATTGGTCATGGAGGATGGGGAGGATATTGTCTTCCATGCGGTGACGCCGGCGTCAGTGTTTGGAGAAGACAGCGAGGTGCAGGTCAGCACACCTAAAACTCCTGCGCAAACACCGCGTAGGGCTTTGAAGAGGAAGCGGGCGGAGGAAGAGAGCGATGTCCAGAAAAAATTTCTGGAAGTCGCTGAGAAGCAAGCAGATGCCATGAAGGTGAGAAATCAAGTTTACAGAAATAAAAAATAAAAATTTCAACTTATGGCATTTGACCATAATTTCATATGTAAAACTTTTCGCTGAACCCGAATATTAAGGCAAAATAATACAAGAATGTAAACAGATTTTACATATAGCCAAATATTTTTTTTTTTGAGATCTGAAAAAAGTTCTTATACGTTTTTGCAATCTGAAATGTCTTTAAATTTAGTAAAGTCTATAAATTTGCGATTGTCTATAATATTACCTAGATCTAAAAGAGATTGCAGATTGACTATATCCAAAAAAAAAATGCAATAACTTGAGAGAACTTTTTTCAGATCTCAAAAAAAACAAATTTGGCTATATGTAAAATCTGTTTACATTCTTGTATTATTTTGCCTTAATATTTGGGTTCAGCGAAAAGTTTTACATATGAAACTATGGTCAAATGCCACATGTCGGATTAGTTGTTGGGTGATTTTTTAAGAGCTTGATAACTTTTTTTTAAAAAAAGCGCATAAAATTTGCAAAATCTCATCGGTTCTTTATTTGAAACGTTAGATTGGTCCATGACATTTACTTTTTGAAGATAATTTCATTTAAATGTTGACCGCGGCTGCGTCTTAGGTGGTCCATTCGGAAAGTCCAATTTTGGGAAACTTTTTCGAGCATTTCGGCCGGAATAGCCCGAATTTCTTCGGAAATGTTGTCTTCCAAAGCTGGAATAGTTGCTGGCTTATTTCTGTAGACTTTAGACTTGACGTAGCCCCACAAAAAATAGTCTAAAGGCGTCAAATCGCATGATCTTGGTGGCCAACTTACCGGTCCATTTCTTGAGATGAATTGTTCTCCGAAGTTTTCCCTCAAAATGGCCATAGAATCGCGAGCTGTGTGGCATGTAGCGCCATCTTGTTGAAACCACATGTCAACCAAGTTCAGTTCTTCCATTTTTGGCAACAAAAAGTTTGTTAGCATCGAACGATAGCGATCGCCATTCACCGTAACGTTGCGTCCAACAGCATCTTTGAAAAAATACGGTCCAATGATTCCACCAGCGTACAAACCACACCAAACAGTGCATTTTTCGGGATGCATGGGCAGTTCTTGAACGGCTTCTGGTTGCTCTTCACTCCAAATGCGGCAATTTTGCTTATTTACGAAGCCATTCAACCAGAAATGAGCCTCATCGCTGAACAAAATTTGTCGATAAAAAAGCGGATTTTCTGCCAACTTTTCTAGGGCCCATTCACTGAAAATTCGACGTTGTGGCAGATCGTTCGGCTTCAGTTCTTGCACGAGCTGTATTTTATACGGTTTTACACCAAGATCTTTGCGTAAAATCTTCCATGTGGTCGAATAACACAAACCCAATTGCTGCGAACGGCGACGAATCGACATTTCACGGTCTTCAGCAACACTCTCAGAAACAGACGCAATATTCTCTTCTGTACGCACTGTACGCATTCGTGTGGTTGGTTTAATGTCCAATAAAGTAAACTGAGTGCGAAACTTGGTCACAATCGCATTAATTGTTTGCTCACTTGGTCGATTATGTAGACCATAAATCGGACGTAAAGCGCGAAACACATTTCGAACCGAACACTGATTTTGGTAATAAAATTCAATGATTTGCAAGCGTTGCTCGTTAGTAAGTCTATTCATGATGAAATTTCAAAGCATACTGAGCATCTTTCTCTTTGACACCATGTCTGAAATCCCACGTGATCTGTCAAATACTAATGCATGAAAATCCTAACCTCAAAAAAATCACCCGTTATTAGGTACTAGGTCCTATCGCGAATTTAACGTGAACAAATATTCCCAAAAATTATAAAGCAGAACAAAAACAATTTTTCCCAATTTGTTTTTGTTTTGCATGTTAAATAATGGGCACAATTTATTCACATGAAATCGGCGATAGGGCTGATTATATTTTAAAAACATCGTGTTAATATATACTTTTTATCAATAGATGCTGGCTGAAAACTCTTCCAGACAGACGGATGTTTTGAAGGTGAGAAGTAATTATTATTAGATATGTTTTACATAAATCGTATTAATATATACTTTTTGTCAATAGATGCTGGCTGAAAATACCGCAAGGCAGACGGAGGCGACGCTTGCAATGGCGCAGTCTATGACCGTCCTTAGCGAAGGTATGAAAGCCTATGCCGAGGGTTTTAACCGACTCGCGAGTACTCTCGGCAACTCATAAATAATATTAATAGTTTAGGTTTTAAGAAATGTAAATATTAGTTTTAAGTTAAGTTTTACTTAACACTTTACAGCAAAAGTCTGCATACACCATTCATTTTTTAAATATTCGCAATATTTTGGAAGCTTAAATTCGTTTATTTTTTTTATTATAAAAATATGGATCATACTTAAAACAAAATCATACAAAGCAAA